TAATGTAAATGTACGCGTGGGTGTGTGTGTGTGTAATGTAAATATACGCGTGGGTGCGTGGGTGTAATATAAATATACGCGTGGGTGCGTGAGTGTAATGTAAATGTACGCGTGGGTGCGTAGGTGTAATGTAAATGTACGCGTGGGTGCGTGTGTGTAATGTAAATGTCCGCCTGGGGTGCGTGTGTGTAATGTATGTAATGTGTATATGTTTATAATGTGATGTATGTGTGTAGTGCGTTTATGTAGTGCGTGAGTGTAGTGTGTGTGTGTAGTGCGTGTGTTTTGTGCGTGTGTGTTGTGCGTGTGTGTTGTGCGTTTGTGTTGTGACTGTGTTTTGTGCCTGTGTGTTGTTCGTGTGTGTTGTGCGTGTGTGTTGTGCGTGTGTTCGTGTGTTGTTTGTGTGTGTTGTACGTGTGGGTGCGTGTGTGTAATGTAAATGTACTCGTGGGTGCGTGTGTGTAATGTAAATGTACGCGTGGGTGCGTGTGTGTAATGTAAATGTACGCGTGGGTGCGTGGGTGTAATGTCAATGTACGCGTGGGTGCGTGGGTGTAATGTCAATTTACGCGTGGGTGCGTGGGTGTAATGTAAATATACGCGTGGGTGCGTGGGTGTAATGTCAATGTACGCGTGTGTGCGTGGGTGTAATGTAAATGTACACGTGGGTGCGTGGGTGTAATGTAAATGTACGCGTGGGTGCGTGGGTGTAATGTAAATGTACGCGTGGGTGCGTGGGTGTAATGTAAATGTACGCGTGGGTGCGTGGGTGTAATGTAAATGTACGCGTGGGTGCGTTGTTGTAATGTTAATATACGCTTGGGTGCGTGGGTGTAATGTAAATGTACGCGTGGGTGCGTGTGTGTAATGTCAATGTACGCGTGGGTGCGTGGGTGTACTGTAAATGTACGCGTGGGTGCGTGGGTGTAATGTAAATGTACGCGTGGGTGCGTGGGTGTAATGTAAATGTACGCGTGTGTGCGTGGGTGTAATGTAAATGTACACATGGGTGCGTGGGTGTAATGTAAATGTACGCGACAGTGCGTGGGTGTAATGTTAATGTACGCGTGGGTGCGTGGGTGTAATGTAAATATACGCGTTGGTGGGTGCGTGTAATGTAAATGTACGTGTGGGTGCGTGGGTGTAAGGTAAATGTACGCGTGGGTGCGTGGGTGTAATGTAAATGTACGCGTGTGTGGGTGGGTGTAATGTAAATGTACGCGTGTGTGCGTGGGTGTAAGGTAAATGTACGCGTGGGTGCGTGGGTGTAATGTAAATGTACGTGTGGGTGCGTTTGTGTAATGTAAATGTACGCGTGGGTGCGTGTGTGTAATGTAAATGTACGTGTTGGTGCGTGTTTGTAATTTAAATGTACGCCTGGGTGCGTGTGTGTAATGTAAATGTACGCCTGTGTGAGTGTCTGTAATGTAAATGTACGCCTGGGTTTGTGTGTGTAATGTAAATATACGCCTGGGTGAGTGTGTGTAATGTAAATGTACGCCTGGTTGCATGTTGGTAATGTAAATGTCTGTGTGTTGTGCGTGTGTGTTGTACGTGTGTGTTGTGCGTGTGTGTTGTGCGTGTGTGTGTGTGTATTTTTTTCGTGTGTGTTGTACGCCTAGGTGCGTGTGTGTAATGTAAATGTACGCGTGGGTGAGTGTGTGTAATGTCAATGTACGCGTTTGTGCGTGTTTTTAATGTAAATGTACGCGTGGGTGTGTGTGTGTAATGTAAATGTACGCGTGGGTGTGTGTGTGTAATGTAAATGTACGCGTGGGTGCATGGGTGTAACGTAAATGTACGCGTGGGTGCGTGGGT